TGGAAAACATGGACGGCCGTTCCGTCGTATTGTGGGACTCCTCAGCAGTGCGCATCCATTGGCTTCAAGATGTATATACTGGAGTTCTAGTGAGAAGTAGTGACTAGTGGAGTTCAACCAGGTCTGTTGTGAGATAGTAACTCACTGAAGACAATGGTGGATGCGTCGCTCAATTTCGTGGATTAGTTGAAGTTAGACAATAACACCGTTGGATGCCGGCCTGCTCAGTGGTCTAGTTGTTAAGTGCTCGGATGCGAAACCAGTAGGTCCTAGGTTCGAATCTCGCACGAGGCGAGGTCGTGGATGCACACTGCTGCAGAGTCCCACAATTGGACGAAACGGCCATCCAGTGCTTCCAGGCTTTCCCTGTTGGTCTAGCTTCAACTGACTCATGATCTTCACCATTGAAATTACTATATAATATCCACAAAACCTGTCTGATTTATCAAGCAAAGTTGTTGCTTTTCTTAAGAGTTATGATTAAAAGTCAGGTTTAAAAGACTTTCATCATTCCAGTATCATTTAGTGAAGGGTGGAAGTTTCTGGTCATGTGGACCCTGACAATACATGTATCTGACCAGCTTAAATGTAGGATTGACAGATTTGGTAGATTGTATATTCGCTCTTATAACCTTTATGGAATTCACTACTACTGATTCTAATCAACTAGTTGATAGTTCTTTGATATTTTCAAACTTCTACAAAACAATCTAGATGTAACAGTTGACTGATATTTGGAGAGTACTTTCTGAAAAAATAGTTGGTTGTTATTCCGTTCTGTATTAGTTGTTTGGATCTTCCCATTGATGTTTACGACTGTGATTGATCGGTCTCTTATTGACATCTCTGTTTACAATATGTGTTTCCAATGTGTTTCTTTTTTAATTTTTAACCCTGACACAACTTTCACTAATTAACTTGATAAACAGTAGTCATGTGCACACTATCGATTATCTTTTCGAGATGAATTTCTGAAGTTCCACTGTGATTTCCAGATCTCAACCATGCTGAGAATAAGGACGATAGATTTGATGGGATCAGACGAATTTCATGCCAGATTGTGTATTGACTAAAAATAAATGTAAAGATCATTGAAATATTGTTTGGATTCCTAAAACTAGCTTATTAATTGAGACAAATAAAGTTTCTGAATTTCATCTTATGTACATTTATGAGTGTTTACTGATGAAGAGTTGAGAGTCAGATCAAAGCGATGAATTAATATTGTTTAGTTGCTGCAAACGATCCACTAATTAAATTCATTTTATGATGAAAATAGTCTTTCAGTAAGCAAAGATGAATAGTGGCTGGCAGTGGAATCCAGGAAGCGCGTTTCTTTCTAAACATCGATGCGAACTTTTAAGTGAACAATACCAAGTGATGAGAGAGGGATTTTGTGGATATTATAGCAAATTAATGGTTGAATTCATGAGTCATTTGGAGCTGGACTACCATGGAAAACCTGATAGCACTAGTATATATGCTAAACGACAAGGATTCGAGTCCCTGAGCGAACATTAACTATTGGGTGCAGGTACATCCAGCTGACGAGTCTTGAATAGGACGACACACGCATCAAACTGGATTTCGCTTCTAGTCATTATCCATCCTTGCTTAAAATGCTTGTGACTTAAGGCTATATCGAGGCAATCCACACAGGATGCACATATGCCAATAAGAGACTGATCAATTGTAGTCATAAATAACAATGAGAAGATACAAGTAAAGCAACACCAAGTGAATTTCAACGACAAACAGTTTATATTAGGCTGACTTAGCCACAACTCTATACTATTGAACATGGGGTTAATTCGTTGTGTTCGAGTTTTATTTTCGCATAGAAATTTCTAATAGTTTTATTCATTTACTTTGTGTATGAATATTGAGATGGTGGAGATTTTTTAGCTCAGGTAGATAATTTCGATGAAAACTTATTCTATGGGCTGGAAGGTTTAATCATGGAGGTTCCATTGTCATTCTGAACATCATCAGAACAAACATCAGGTAGATATGATGTACTCAAATTTCTCCATATATGACTGACAGCTTGTTATGTCGGCTCTCATCTTAAGTACCTAGTGTTGTATGCATATTTATTCTCATTGTTTCTCTCTTTGACGGTATGATTCCTGACTCTATGTTTGTTCATGATTTTTCCACTTAGTAAATACATTGAGTTGACTTCTATGTGTCTGTTGATTGACCTGAGTGTCTGTCCATCTAAATCCTCAACCATTTCCAAGTTGAATGGATGATGGAAACGATGAATAGGAAGAAATCGCTCAAATGTTTTATCCTGAGAATGCCATGTTGTAACCAATAAATAGTATTGGTAAGCCTATCTTGAAATTATAGGCACATAATGACAATGATAGCTAGCAACTAAGAAAACCTACTAACCAAAATCCACTGTTTATAATTTTTTTTTTACATTTCGCTATTCCAAGTCTAATTAGGAAAAAGTTGAATGTGTTGTGACTTTGAAATCCAGCCAGTTTTCACGTGAGTTATCCGCGAATCGAAATAAAACTTATACAGGTTTAAAACTGTACCAAAGCAATAACGTTCGACCACTATGAACAGCCTAATCTCCTTATCAGTTCTTTTGGTTTCCTAGCCCATCCACTTCAGTCCAGAACACCAATAAAAGCTTCCGTTATGTGAATCATTTATTTCAAACATACTTGGTTTATATACCAGCCAAACACACCGCCGCATCACACTATCCAATAGGAAATGACATTTATACAAGGTGAAGTCAAGATGTGGCTGTGGGAGTGATTGTGGTGAGACTGTAATCAATAAACTGAGTATAATTTAAGAACAGTAAATCGTATGATCATAGTCTATAGATCACAATGAAGCTTATAATAAGAGGAATATGAATATACACAATCTAATTACTGAATAGTGAAACAATAAGAATATATTTCTAGCATTATTTCATTGAGATAATCTGTTTCAAATGCCGATTAACTTGCGAAATGCAACCAACTAATTATAAATACTTGTACCTTCTTGACGATTGTTGTTGTAGTTCTCCAAGTTCCAGCTCCATACAGTAGAATTGTCTTGACGGTGGTATTGAAGATTGTGACTGTTGATATTAACTGATGGACGGTTGTTTTAGTTCCATATATTGTTTAAATGTAGGAATGCGGCCCCTTCTCCACCATTGTAAAAATATATTACTTAAATTTTTTCAAAAAAATTAACAAATAGATCTGTAACATAAATCGATTGAATTTTCTCTTCTTTTTATTATTTTTAATTCCTAGTCAAATGAAGATATGAAAAGAACGTATAACAACTGGAAAGGGTTGGAGAGGGTTGACTAGAACATAGTTGAATGATGATGAATGATGATTATGATCAAAACATCCAAGTTAATTGGTATTGGTTATTGTTGTTTCAATGGGATATAAATAGCTTATGTCAATAATTATACTACTACTAATAACAGTAGTATTAGTAGTTGTACTAGTGATTCCTCTGATCGTAATTCTATATGTAGTCAATTTCTATTGAATGTAGAATTATTTGATAATAATAATAATGAGACTATAGGGTTTAATGATTATAAATATGGATGAAACGCGCGTCAAACTGGATTCCGTTGCTAGGCACTAGCCATCTTTGCTTAATAAGCGATCTTGTTAGCACATTCATGTGTATTATTTTGTCACGTTTTTTCGGTTATCCCACTAACGGTATATTCACTAATACTGTTACTGAATTCATCATGATGTCCATAGTGAACACATAAATTCTCATATTGTCAAATCTCCAGCCACAGTATTTAATAGTCACCTAGGTCACTAATATTTCTATTTTTAGACCTATATGTTTTGCGGTTACATTTATAAAAAATGAGACCACAAAGATAATGATCAATAGTGGTAGTGGAATTCTGTGTATTAGTTTGTAGTGTAACTACAAGGTTTAATGATCCAATAGTTAGTCACCATGGATTAGTCTATGAAACCAATTGGTGTCAGACAACTTCTCCTCATTCAGTAATTTCAATAGAAACTTCATGGATAGAAGTTATTGGCAGAGAGGACTTTAGTTATTGATTGGCTTGTTCTGTCAGTCTATTGTTTGAATATCATACTGAACAATCTAGCAATCCATTCTGAATATAAATTTGGTGAATACAAAGTCACTTATGAATTGTCATAAAAAAATTGACTGACCATAAATATACTGCGTATTTTTCATTTAAGCCAAAGATTGTGTTCTTCACAAAATTTCTGAATTTATTAGGTGTGCAAAGATAGTTAGTAGTAAGTCCTTGACTTAAAGTTGCTACTGGTTGACGTCAGCAACATATACCTAGAATCTTAAACGGAACTGATGTTGTCTGTGAAATCTCATAGAAGTCAATCGGTTTTGCACAATTAGAAATGATATCAACAAGTTATTTGGGTTGTGGCAGATCTTCTGTACAAATTAGATGTTTACACTAATTTATAGCTGATTAATATCTGAAGTTGCAAAAATAAGCCCCAGGGTCTTGACTCAGTCACCGTACTCACCGCACGGCCTGAAGTTTCTAAATGAAATCCCCGATTAAGTCTTAAGTGTACACTACCTCAGAGTTTTAAACTAGAATCAAATATTGATTCCGTTCTTTCTGGATCTTCATTTTACAGTCAATTTATCATAAAAATTATCTTAAAATAATTGAATGATAACAATAATGGTAACAACAAAGTCACATACTATGAAGTAACTAAAAATTCTACTACTGTGATGTGTGCTACTGATGTCAACAGATATAAGTAGTATGTAACACCAATCGAAAGTGGAAAGCCTAGCGTCGGGAAGTTGAGAAAATCGAAGAGAAGCAAACAAGAACAGAGAATGATTGGTATCGAAAACATTAGATACAAATAACTAAGTTCTACAGGAATAGATTAGCTAAAATTTCCCTCAATTGGTTGGACATAAATACTATAGAAAATTGGAACAAATGCTATTTAGATTGATTTTAATTGATGCGATTACTAGACGTGTAAGAGTAATAGTCCTATGTTCGCATAATCCGACTGTTAGCAGTTTACTCATCATCTTAGAACCATCTTACTGAATCTAAATCCTAGCCAACTTATTATATAATCGATCATAAAATTAAATCTGTTCATTAACAAGTATTATTTTATATTTTCCTTAACACCTAAATCAAAGTTAAACACCTGAAACATCAAAGGTCCGTTTATTTCGATAATTCACTTCATAATTTCGGTTTGTTGTAATTCACTGATTATGTCCACTAATCTCATATTCTTAGGCGCTTTAATAAAATGTTGACAACCTATCTCGAATTTGATTGTTGAAAGGTTAAAGAAACATTACTAGGACAGTTCGTGTACGTTCCTCCTCTTTTGTCCTCAAAAAGGGGACTAAAATATGCATCAAACACATTTTGTAATGAAAAGAGATATCATGAGAACGAGACCGATGCTGCCCCAAATGCCCTGGTACGGTCAAGAGTGCGGAGAGTCAACTCCCCATCTCGAAATGCTCTCACATGGTTACGTGCATGCAACCACTACCACAAAAGTCCTACTCATTACCTCCTTGCGGCACTATCGTTGTTCATCAGATTGAGAGGACGAAAAGCAAATGTACGGCAATTGAACCGGGTTGGTGGAAACAGAGAGTCCACTTAGAGGAGTAGGAAAACCCTGATTCCAAACCAATGGTGCACATGCACTCCAGGATCCTGAGGGAACAAATGGCGTATGAACCAATCGTTGGTCACTGGCTACATGGGATTGCATCTCCTGACGTTGTTCCACTGCCTTGTGGATCAGACCTATATGTCGAAGGCTTGGTTCGTGGCCACCTAAGAAAACCATCTTCTTAGGTCTGTGCACCCGGGCAGTATCACAGCTTACACACAAATCAAGTGACTTGTGTAGCGCATATGTATTCGGTACCCCACTGTATCGATGTTAATGTGTTCAAATAAAGAAACAATTGGTAAATATATGAGGTTGTGAGTTTCTATCGACCGAGATGTTTGGGCCACGTGTTACGTATGTCTGAACAACGATTACCACAACGCACAATCCTGAATAGTGTTGAAGACGGTTGGAAGAATGTTAGGGGCTGCCAAACCAAAAGGTGACATCAGTCTATGAAGTCACTAACTTCTGGCCATGTTGTTAGATGCAGACTACTTGGTTGTGATCCACATGACTACCGTAACCAATAGTTGGAGACTGTGTGTGACATGGCTGACAATCGATCACAATAGTGTAGATGTATATACTCTTTGTTTCCCTTTACACCATGAGATTAAAATCGCTTCATATCTTTCTTTCTACGTTCTAAATCTTTCTTCATGTAATATATCCTTATATGCAATCTTTCTTTTATATATTACCACCATTGAATTTACTACTTCTATGAGTTTGGTATTCATCTTGTTGTGCTAATGCGGTATGGCAACTTGGACCGATGTATATATGTGCCTGATCCTTCACTGTAGCTGACTGACTGACTGATTTTAATCCAAGTTTTAAACAACCAATTAAGATCTAATTGATAAATCCATCATAACTTTAAATAATGATTATAGACTTCAGGTTCGAAAAATTGGTCATTATAGATTGAACGTAATTCATACTGTATTATACTGATGTCAGATAATTTAGTTTCCTTCATTTTGTCCGATCACTGGACGGCCGTTTCGTCCTATTTTGGAACTCCTCAACAGTGTGCATCCACGACCTCACCCCCTTCATTTTGTCATTCTTATATTTAGTCTTTTATTACTATTGAGGGTAATTTTATTTTATTTTATTTTTCCTAATCAATTTCATGATATCGATGCCAATATCAATTTCAATCCATATTGGATGATCCGTATTTGTTGTTAACCCTGTATTGTTTATGTCTATCTATCTATCTAACTATCCCCTTATTTATCTATATTTATCTGTTATAATAATTGAATGAGATCAGAAGCTTAAATAGCCTAGATTCATAGGAAATAAAACCATAGTGAAATAGTGTATATTTTGATAAAGTTTCATTTACTGAGCTTAGAGAAGTTAATGTATACAGAGAAGAATCATTTTCAAGGCAAATCTAATCATGTATGCATATAATACTGATGGATATAATATGAGTTTTTATAATAGAAGGAATTCGTTCTAGATCACATGTGTGTTATATACATGGGGTACAATAAAGTTTGATTGAATCAAAAGATAAATTCAGATGGTGGAGAAGATTTGTAGCTCAGGTGAATGATTCTGATGAAGTTTTGTTCTCTGAGCTGGATAGTTTCGTCGTGGAGCTTTCATCGTTCTTCTGAATGATATCATTAGTACAAACTTCAGATGGAACCAAAACCATCCAGCTCAGAGAACAAAACTCCATCTAGAAAGATAAACTTTTGGTTTTCGAACTTTCAAATATACAAAATGAATAAATAAATAAATAAATAAATATTGTGAATAAACAAAGTCGTATGCCTTGGTGGCAATGGCTGTGAAATATGACCGGCAAGAGAAGAGGATATTCGTAGGTTACTAGTATTTGATCATAGGTGTCTTCTAAGCATTACTGGTATATCCTGGGACTACCGAGTAAGTAATGAAATTGTTAGGAAACGGGTACTGGGTAAGGATAGCAAATCAATTAATGAACTATTGGAACTTTATTAGTTGAGATGGCTGGGACATGTGATACGTATGACCAACCACACACTGCTCAGACGAGCGATGTTTTATGGTGTAGGAGTAGTTTGCAAGAAAGCTAGAGGCGTCAGACCAAAACATTGGCACAAATCCATAAAGTCACTGACAAGTGAAGTCAGTGGGCCATGTCTGTAAGTGTAGACTACCTGGTTGTGATCTGCGAGGTGATAGCAACCAATAGTTAGAGACCTTGAATGCCATGGCCGAAAATCGTAATGGAGCAAGTGCATCCACTCGTTGTGTTCTCCCAAATTTTAATCTGAATTCTTCATGTCCCTTTCTTTTTCCTCTTTCCAAATATATTTCACTGGATTATACTCTTTGAATAACATGTTCGAACCCTAGTGTTTTCGATGACTACTTATGCTTTGACTAATTCTACCACTATGGTATTTGAATCGACAATTGTATCAGTGTGCTAATATGGTATGGCAACTTGAACCGATGTACATACGTCTGTACAAAGTTCTACGTTGTTACTGACTGACTGACTGAATCATGCATTTACGTTTTATGATATTTATATAAGAAATTAAAGGTTAAACTAGACAAAATGGAAACCAACAAGATAGTATAGAACAACGATACGAAATATACCACTCTAAATATTAAAATTAGCTGGGTATTATTATAGTGGATTTGTTGTAAGTATATAGTGTTTTTTAACATACAGGCTGGACGAAGTTAATCAGAATTATGTGATATATTTACGCAATACATCGAGAACAATCTGATCACACCTAATATACTTGTTAAGAACATTTATATGGGAACACATACAAAATGATTGCAGGAACAAATGGATTGCAATGGTCAAATAAGATCATAGGATAGACAGACATCATCCTCCATTGCGAAACATTTGATTGAGACTGGTTATAAGGTTGATATCAAATCAGCATTTGTAGTGTTATACAAAAGCCTTCAAGGACGTATACTAAGGTTTATTGAAGCCTTGGCTATATGGAAATTGAAACCTCCTTTTTGTGTTCAAAAACAATTTGTCCTTACACTTAACCTCCCTTGGTAATACTGATTTATTATCAAGACTGATAATCACATTTGTTTTTGTGTACTTTTGTGTATTTTTTTCCCTTTGTTAAGGGTTACCTTTAACCTGTCTAATTGACCTTTTAATTTTTCATATATAAATGTCCTTAACAAGTATATAAGGTGTGATCAGATCAAAGGGACTAATTATTTTAAACACAGACTGGAGTTTGTTATGAAATGTGGCTAACTGAACATGATTGCCTTAAACTATCTGACTTTCTCAGTAATGTACTAGTGTAGTAAACGAGAACCTAGTTGGAGTAATTTAATTTATTGATTAGTGCAGAACTATATAGTGCTTTCGTAATCACAATTGATTGATCACTAGGTGATGATCAATGTCATGTGTGTCAACTCCTTATTTAGTGCACATCGAATGCTATCGACCACGTGCTTTCGTAAAATACGAAAGTCATATATTAAGTACATTGTTTGTACATCTTCCTTCAGTTATCCTGTACATACTTCTTCATTCTTTCAATTCAGTTTTTATTCCTATTCCTCTCTGTTTCATTTTCTCTTTCCTTTATCTCAATCTTCAGCTGGCAGACATTCTACTTCCTATTGCTGCTACATACTACTTATATCTGTCAGCATAAGCAGTATACACCATACTAGTATGTGTTACAGTTGAATGAAAAAGCTTACAGAAACTGTACAGTTTAAAGATAGTTCTTTTTCCTCATAGATTACAAAGTAATTAGTAACGAAATGCCGTTTCGACTGTGCATGAAATCTTCAGCAACACAAACTCATGACGTTGTCATAGATCGATTCTAGAACATTTTAGATTACCTTACAAATATGTTATTCACTTTAGATCATTGAACTGTTTGTTATCCAGTGTAATATATTGATAACTTCAATAAACTTTGGTCATATTATCATTCTGTTCATCAGTTTATCAGTTGAAATTAGTTTTCAATATAAATCACTTTGAAATAGATAATAAGTAGTATGATAATTTGCAAATAATTTATTTTCTTGAATTCTTTTCCAGTTTATTTTTCGAATTTGATTTGAAGGATTATACTATTGATCAATGTGCTTTGAATATAAATCGATGTGGAGCAACAACTCGAGTAAGTTGATAGAGAACGTCAAGTTTTATTCTCAATTTACTAAAAATTTCATTGCTTTATTTCTTAGAAAATTTGTAGTAGTAGTAGTAGCGGTAGTAGAGTATTAGTATTAGCAGTATTAGTATTAGTATCAGTATTAGTAGTAGTAGTAATAGTAATAGTAATAGTAATAGTAATAGTAGTAATAGTAGTAGTAGTAGTAATAGTAGTAGTAGTAGTAGTAGTAGTAGTAGTAGTAGTAGTAGTAGTAGTAGTAGTAGTAGTAGTAGTAGTAGTGGTAGTAGTAGTAGTAGTAGTAGTAGTAGTAGTAGTATATTTGTAGTTACTTTCTTTCGCCTGTTACTCCAAATTGAGCAGAGGCGGCTGACCATCATTCTCCAACCCAATCTGTCCTGGGCCTTTCATTCTAGTTCTATCCAATTTTCGTTTATTTTTCTCATGTCTGTCTTCATTTCTCGGCGTAACGTGCTCTGTAATCTTCCTCTTTTACTTTGACCTTCAGGATTCCATGTGAGGTCTTGTCTTGTGACGCAGTTGGGTGTTTTCCTCAATGTGTGTCCTATCCACTTTCAGCACTTCTTCCTAATTTCTTCCTCCGCTGGGATCTGGTTTGTTCTCTTCTATAGTAGGTTGTTTGTGATAGTGTTTGGTCAACGGATCCGAAGTATTTTGTGCGGACGTCTGTTAATAAACATCTGAATCTTCTGGATGATGGCTTTCGTAGTTCTCCAAGTTTCTGCCCCATACAGTAGAAATGCTTTGACATTTGTATTGGAAATCCTGACTTTGGTGTTGGTTGACAGTTGCTTTGAGCTCCAGATGCTCCTCAGTTGTAAATATGCTGCTCTTGCTTTGCCGATCCGCGCTTTCACATCTGCATCAGATCCATCATGTTCATCAATGATGCTACCCAAATATGTAAAGGTTTTCACATCTTCCAAATATTCTCCGTCAATTGTGATAGGATTGGTGCATGCTGTGTTGTATCGGGGAATTTCGCTTTTCCCTTTGTGTATGTTGAGACCTACTGCTGTTGAGGCTGCTACTACACTGGTCGTCTTCTCCTGCATTTGTTGTTGCGATTGCGACAGGAGGGTTAGATCATCTGCGAAGTCAAGATCGTCCAACTGCATCCTAGATGTCCATTGCCTCCCGCGCTTCCCTTCAGATGTTGACGTCTTCATGATCCAGTCGATCACCAGGAGAAAGAGAACGGGTGACAGTAAACAACAATGAATATTTGTGCAAGTTATCAAATACTATAAAGTTAGGACAAGATTCAATAATAATAAACTTTCAAATAGAAATGAACCATTTTCTTTTTTAATATACTTTTATCATATTTAATTGTTAAATCTAATTCAAATAATCATAGATAACTTATCAGATGAATACTGATATGTATATTTAATGTATATTGTATCAAATGTATCATGGATACCTCAATGAATTGATGGATCCATTTCGATCAAGGTCATTAGTTATAGACGGTTCAACTAATATGACTATCGGTAATAATTTATAATAAAAATTAACAAATGCTATTACAGATACCATCTTCTTAGATAAGTCTATTGAAATTACTTTATTCTAATTGGTGAGTTCAATGATCCAAACAAAACATAGCGTTCATACATAAATTATAATATTCAATTATTATTATTACACTAAATAGCATTTCTTTTCTTTTACTCTTATAATCATGACAAATAAATTGAATGTTAAGTAAGTAGTATATTTTAATCAAAATAAATTTATTAATTTAATAGTTGAATTCATAAGTCAATTGAAATTGAACTATGATGGCAAACCTGGAAACATTGGGTGGCCATTTCGTCCTAGTAGGAGACACCTCAACAGTGCACATTGACAATCCCGACTCGCGAGATTTGAATCCAGGACCTGTCGGTCTCGTCCACGAGCGCTCAACCACTAGCATATAGAGCCGGCGTCCAACGGTGTTAATATTTAACCCTCTCTCGTTTTAATCATCATATACTCACTAGTGACGGTCTCCACAACGTATTTCCAGTGAGAAGCCATGATCAGTGGAATTCAACCAGATCTGTTGTGAGATAATAACTCACTGAAGACAAGAGTGGATGTGTCGCTCAATTTCGTGGATGGATTGAAGTTAGACATGAACACTGTTGAATGCTGGCTTAGTGGTCTATTGGTTAAGCGTTCACGCCCGCAATTGATATGTCCTGGGTTCGAATCTCGTGAGGCGGGGTCGTGGATACACACCATTGAGGAATCCTATACTAGGACGAAACGGTCATCCGGTGTTTCCACCTTTTTGCATGCTGATCTAACTTCAATTAATTAATGAATTCATCTTATAAATTCCTGTATTATCCTCAAAAATCCTTCTCTGATTATAATTAAATTGATATTTGTTTATATATTTTCTTATAGATCTATACTAATTCATCTACAATCATATTTCATCATTTGCTCCTATTTAATTGGATTATTATTATTATCATTATCATTAATAATAAACTCTTCAATAAATCAATTAGTTACTGGGCTATCAATTAATTATACCTTTGAAAATGATTCCTTTAAACAAGTAATAAATAATCAATAAATAATCGATAATATTTTTTTCCTATAAAAAAAATTTTTTTTAGTTAAAACATTCTAATTATCTACAATTGATACAATTCAATCAATTGAATTCAATTCAATTAATGAATAGTGAAAAAATTCTATTAACATCAGATATACCATTGGTAAATTGTGCTTTATATATAATGATGAATTCAATACAGCATTTAGATACCATGTTTCCAATTAAATTCTATGGTGAATATTATAAAACAGTTAGAATATTATCAAATGGTTAGTAACATCAGTTTATTTTTTTTGGAGGGGGGTGGCGTTGAGGTGGGATGGGGTGGGGTATATGTTTTGTTTCTCATTATCATTGTGTTAACTGTTTATTCATTGAATTTATTTTATGTTTAGTTAAGAATTTGATATAATTAAATGGATTCTATAAATGAATTTCATTGAATGTAACGAAGATATATCTCTTTTCTATTTATACATTAAGAGAAAATATTCATCTTATAGTATGTAAAGAGTTTGAATTATATTTTTTCTTATTATGAAATCATACGATGACGCAATTTTGTGGATTGGTTAAAGTTAGACATTAACGCTGTTGAATGCCAGCTGACTCAGTGGTCTAATGGTTAAGCGTTCACGCGCGAGACTGATAGGTACTGGGTTCGACTCTCGTGAAGTGTGGTCGTGGATGTACACTATTGACGAGTACTATAATAGGACGAAACGGCAACCCAGTGCTTCCAGGTTTTCCATGGTGGTCTAGCATCAATTGACACATCATTTCAACGATTGAAATTATAATGTATTTTAAATTGAGATTGTACTTATCAGTCAGTGGATTATGAAATCTCTTTAGGGAATGATGACAATATTCTGTTGCTAAATAGAAAATGCTCTTGTAGGCTTGAAATTGTATTCCCAATGTAGTCATTTATAAGGACTGATAGGTCCTGGGTTCAAAACTCGCGGGGCGGATTATTGGTTATGGAATGCTGAAGAGTCTCATACTGGGATGAAATGCCGGTTCACTGCTTCCAGGTTTTCCATGGTGATCTAGCTTCAATTGACTCATGAATTCGATTAGTGAATTAGATATAAGTCATTTTATCGTTATCGCTACTCAGTTGATGAGCTAATTATTCATTATGAGTTTTACGTTTTGGTGATCAGACTTGATTGTTGCAATGTGTATAAAAACTATCTAATTATATATGATACTAAATACAATCTCAATGCATAAGGCTATACTTTATTTCTTTTTTTTTTCTATATGAGCCTTGTATTCCCTTAGTAATTCTTTTATACAGAGAATAGATCAAATTCGTTTAGACTTATTTATTGTAACAACGAATTGTAAAACCTCCTTAACTAAAAGTCCTTTTATAATATAAATTATCACATAAACATATGGGCTGAATGGTTTGGTCGTGGAGGTTTCATCATTCTATCCAGCTCATAGAACAAAACTTCATCAAAATCATCCACTTCAGTTACAAATCTTATCCACCATTCTTTTATGGTATGGGATTACCGACTCTCATACCCGACCCTCCTCCTCCTCCTTTACCTGGGTTTAAGACTGGTAGTAACTTTAGAAGAGTTATAGAAGGAGTTATATTCACTTAGTATTCATTGTTAATTCTTACTTACAAGTAAGCCTTCTTAAATATTCAGTAAAAAGTTTTATAAATTAAAATGTCTTAAACATTCAAACGGATCTAACCAAATGAAACTTGCTTAATTAATAAAACGTGTCATCAGATGACTTGTCAACTTATAAAGTTAGAGAAATACCTTCATCATTATTATTATTATTTAACATGATTATCAAAGTATTTCATAGTGAAAATAGTTTCAGTTAACTTCAAAAAAAACCAAAACAAAAAACAATGGTGCCAGTGTTAAACTAAACTATTGAATTTATTTGTAACCAGTTGCCAAACGTAGTTGGTGTAAACAAAGATGGATATTGGCTAACAGTGGAATCTAGGACGCACGTTTCGTCCTATTTGAGACTCGCCAGACGGATATACCTACATCTAGGTCACTATCCATCTTTGCTTATAAAGCTTGGGAAGTAAGGCAATATCGAGGCATACGCACAATATGCACATATGTCAATAACAGACTGATCAATTCCAGTCTTAAATCTAAATGGGAAGATTCAAGCAAGACAATATCAAGTGGATGTAGTTGGTGTAAATTTTAAAATGAATAGTTTTTTCTTACTACATGAAAGCTAATATAACTCTTAGATAGTTGAATCATTTTCAGTTCAATATTAGACTAGCACTGAAAACATGGAAGCATTGAATGACTGTTTCATCTTAGAATGGGACTTTAAAATAGCGAGCATTTATGACCATACATACATGAATCGAACTCAGGACCTCTGTTTTGGAACGTGAGAAGTTTAACTCTAAACTAGTGGACCGAAGTCCAACAGTGTTAATGTTTAACTCGAATCAGTGCATGACTTTGAACAACCATCTTCCATTGTTATCAGTAAGTAACTGCTTGAATGCGCTGTGGAGTCCCATATTAAGATAAAATGTCCATCCAGCGCTTAAAGGTTATCGATGGTGATTCTTACTGACCTTTATGAATAAAGGATTGAACTAGACTGAAAAAAAGTTGTATGAACTGAAGAACTGATTCATTCAACTATCAGTCTATTCTTAATCAATAGTCAGTCTTAAATTCTTGTGCTTCATTAAAATTACGAATCATTATGATAGCTTCCACTGAACTATTTCTAGAACGTACAAAATTTTGTTAAACCACCATTGTAAACCAGGAAGTATTGGACGGTCGTTTCGTTCTATTGTGGGACTTCTCAACAGTGCGTATCCACAATCTCGCTCGCGGGATTCGAACCTCTAGGGCTTCAGTCTCGAGCGCGAGACCGAAACAACTAGATCACTGAGCCAGCATCCAATGGTGTTAATGTCTAACTTTAACCAATTCACAAAATTACGCGACCATCTTCGATTGTATGGAGGTAGATACCTGTCTCTACCCGACATGGATTATCTATTTCTAACACATACAACACATTTATTAAACATTAGGAATTATTTATTTATTTTGTTTTACATTAATTCAAGGTATTATAAATATTGTGGAGTCAAATTTTGGAAAATTATCTGGAAGCATTAAAGTATTTTATGGAGTTTGGAAAACGGGTCAAGTGGATATTATTCATAATGGTGAGTTATTCTACTATTGAAAGTTTAATTAGTTTAGAATAACTTTAGTCATCGGATATCAGCCAGTCAGTCAGCTATAATGTAGGACCAGTCACATATATGTGTCGGTCCAATTTGCCATACCTCATTAACACAACAAGATGGACACCGGATTCATAGAAGGAGTCAACTCAGTGGTGGTAATATATAAAAGAAAGATTGCATATAAAGACATAGTACAGGAAGAAAGAATTAGTTCATAGAAAGAAAGTTGTGAAGCAATTTTAGTCTCTTAGTTTAGGAGAAGACAGAAGTCATTGGATATAATTATTCTTTAATGGAAAACTTTATATATTTTTATACGTAATTGGGGTAAAATGTACGTTTTTTTGGCGTCGAACAGTCATATCCATAGTAAATAATTAGGAACGAATAAATTCATGAATAAAGTTGTAAAGTTAATCTTCTTAATAGTTGAGATCATGAATCAATCGAAGCTAGACTACCATGTGAAACCTGGAAGCATCGGATAACCGTTTCGTGCTAGTATGGGACTCCTCAACATCGTTCATCCACGATCCTGCCTCGTGAGATTCGAATCCAGGACATGTCAGTCGCGGGCATGAACGATTAACCACTAGACCACTAAGTCGGCCATCATCCAACAGTGTTCATGTCTAACTTCAAACAATCCACGAAATTGAGCAACACATCCACCATTGTCTTCAGTGAGTTACTATCTCACAACAATTGACTCATGATCTCAACTATTAAAATTACTATAATATCCACAAAACCCCTTCTAATATTAATTTTTTTCTTAAATGAATTACTAATAATCCGATTCAATTTTATGGCATTTATAGATAAGTTTCTAACGGTAAGATGGCCTAATCTTAACATTTACAATGCACATGGAAAAGAAATGAAAGAACGTGGTATGTAATATTCTTGGGTACACTTTACATATATATATGGTGTGTGTGTTTATGTGTGTTATGAGTATGATGTAAAAGTTTCAACCTACTTAACACTTCTTAGCAGGCTTGTCCGAAATGTTGAAGATAATGACAATTTGAATAAATGATAACCAATTTGACTGTTTAATGTATTGACTAATATCTATATATTTCAATCGGGTCACTTGTGAGATAGTAACTGACTGGTGACAGTGGTGGATGTGTCGCTCAATTTCGTGGATGAGTTGAAGTTGGACATTTACACCGTTGGATGCCGGATCAGTGGTCTAGTTGGTTAAGTGCCTGACGTGATACTGATAGGTCCTGGGTTCGGATCTCGCGAGGCGTGGTCGTGAATGAGTACTGCTGAGGAGGAGTCTCACTATAGGAAGAAACGGCCATCCAGTGCTTCCAGGTTTTCCATGGTGGTCTAGCTTCAATTGACACATGATTTCAATCAGTGAAATTACTACAATCTCCAGAAAATCCCTTCTGATATATTTTTCTGTATTGAATAAACCCTTTATATAACTGAAATATTTTACACTGAATAATGACTACCTAAGTAACACTTCAGGTCTCATTTTTGTCTAGTTCATATTACCGACTGAATTCTATCAATCAGTTTTATAATTTGGTTACTAGTCTATATAACCGGATAATCGTACGCCAAAATAGTTTACTAAAATATTCTAGAAAATATTTCTATTATATATTTACTTTAGTTATAAGCTAAATAAGTATCATATTGATTTCAATGCTTGAAATTCTGTATTATTATTAATATGACTTGAAAGATTCAAATAGAATATTCATGAAAATAATGAATGGATTGAGAAGATATTAACTATATAATGAACTGATGACTTCCGATTATTGTTATGACATATAACCTAGTAATGATAATGAGAACACAACTAATAAACTTTTAACATTGTGCCAAATTAATGATTTGTTAACTGATGATATAAAAAGCCTAGAGTCTTTATTGGTCATGCTCTTACTCATGCTCTACCTGTTGAATCCAAAATAGCGATTATCAGCTTCTATTATATGAATCATATATTTCAGATATACTTTGATTATAGACAAGCAAACATGAATATTTTGGTGGAGTTTTGTTCTCTGAGCTGGATGGTTTGGTCGTGGAGCTTTAATCGTCCTTCTGAACGACATCATCAGCACAAACTTCAAATAGAAGTGAAGTGTTTGAATTTCTCCATATGTGTTTCAAAGCTTGTTCTGTGCACCTCGATGTTGATTGGTTCTTATTGACCTTAAATTCGTCTCCACCATCTCAAAACCTGAATATATCATACTATAATATAATATAATAATTATAATAGGATCAAGACAAAACGTGACTATGTATTTGAGATACTGTAACTAATAAATTGAAAATAACTAAAGAATAGCAAATCGCATAATAGGAGTCAACGGGTCAAATGGAAGCTTATAATAAAAGAAATATGAATATATATATAATCTAGTTACGGAACAGTGATACAATAAGAATTTATTTCACTGTATTATACTTCTTGAATAACATCTTCAAACCCTACTGTTTCCGATTACTGTTTATACTTTTATTACCTCTAGCACTACGGGATTTGAATCGACAACTGCATCTCTGTGCTAGTGTGGTGCGACAACTCGAACTGATGTACGTACGTACAAAGTTCTTCATTGTTACTGACTGACAATAAAAATATAAATGTATGATAACAGTCCATAAACAGATCCCAAAACTACCCATAATTTAATCTTCGTTAGGATATAACAGTTATTAGTAGTTATATATTTATCTATTTTGAACACACAGATATTGGTACAAGGGGGCATCAGATACATATGCGCCGCACAAATCTCATTTGCTTTGTGTAAGGACTGTGATACTGCCGGGGTGCCCAAACGAAAGCAGAGTTATTAGTAGTGATATATCAATTTTTTATAATTTTCAGCACAAATAACATGCACAATACATGTTAATGGGAACATATCGATTTTCTTTGAAACAGTAAGTTGACTAATTATTGAAATATTTTATTTCCTTTAATAAGAAAATTAGAATCATTTACCATAATTTTCTGCAAAATTTAAGCTTGACAATAACATTGGTGTGTGACAGAGAGTTATCAGAATGGGGATTTTAGTAACTTAATAATTGAATTTATGAGTGATCATGGAAAACCTGGAAACACTGAACGACCGTTTGGTCGTGGTGTGCAAATCCTCAGCAGTGCTCATCCACGTTCCCGCTCGCTGGATTCGAACTCAAGACCTATCGGTCTCGTGCGCGAAGGCTTAAACTCTAGGCCAGTGAGCCAGTATTCAACAGTGTTAATGTCTAATTTCAATTAATGCACGAAATTGAGCCACTGTCCATCTTTGTCTTCAGTAAGTTACTATCTCACAATAGAGCTGGTTGACCACCATGGATTACGGCTTCTCGCTAGAACTCCTGGAAATACCTCTGCTAAACGTTCAGTAATATTAACTTCACTTGGTATTGTTAACTTGAATCTTCCACCGCTATCCACCATCCATCTTTGCTTATAATGGTTTTGACTTAAGGCAATATCGAGGCAGTCCGCATAGGATACACATATGCTAACGAAAAACTGGTCAAAAGCAGTCCTAAATAACAGTGGAAAGATTCAAGTAAACAATACCAAGTGAATTTGAAAGTTCAGTCCCAATACACAAGCAAGTGGCTATCAGGACTCAGTAGCTAAGTAGACAGAGTTTGAAGTAAACGATACTGGGTTCGAGTTGCACAGTGTACATCAACTCTGAGATGCAGGTACATCCAGTTGACGAGTTCCAGGTAGGACGAAACGCGAGTCAAACTGGATTCCACTGCTAACCGTTATCCATCATTGCTTAGAAGAATTAAATATAATAATAATTATTGATTAATAGTTGTGAATATAATTATAAGTTAGTAGGAACAATAGAATAAAATTAAAATGATAGATCATATGATATAGAAAAGGAGATTAAGAACATGGAAAATGAGTAACTAAGCATAGTATAATCAGATAGACGTTTTATGGATATTATAATAATTTAATGGTTAAATTCATGAATCGATTGAAGCTAGACCACCATGAAAAACCTGGAAGCACTGTATTGTTATTTTGTTCTAGTATGTGATTCCTCAACAATGCGCAACCACGAGCATAGTATGTTTGTACTCAAAAGTTAGGGTTAAAATGTTGGTTACCAATAACCTCTGATGTACATAAGTTTTTCACTTACATTCCTATTGAGCCAATTCTTCTGATTGTATATAATGATTTTGATGGAGGCTTCTGATGTAGTGAAGTAATACGTTTCACTGGTTGAAATCATCAGTCAATTGGAACTAGACTACCATGGAAAACCTGAAAGCACTGGACGTCCGTTTCGTCTTAGTATAGAACTCCTCCTCAGCAGTGCGCATTCACGATCTTGCCCCCTACAAGATTCAAACCCAGGACCTACTGGTTTCGCGCGCAAGCACTTAACCACTAGACCACAACCAATCCATGAAGTAATAAGATGAAAATAATTGTCCTTTTGATCACTATTAACAAAAGAATAATAAAAAGTGTTATAATAATTACCAATTCATAATCCTATGAAGATAATTGTAAAAGTGTAAAAAAAAATGATAAAACAAGCAAAAATAATAAACTGTAAACAGGTACAATAAATAAAAGAAAAAACAAAAAAAATTTTTGTTGTTTTGGCAAACTTATAATGAATGTCACTTGCATACTTACTTACCTACGCCTGTTACTCCTAATGCTGCCGACCAGCATTCTCCAACCCACTCTATCCTGGGCCTTCTTTTCTAATTCCATAATGAATGTCACTAATGTTTATTTTTGTTTATTTATTTGCTTTTTTATTACTAAAGGTTAATTAACATCTAATGACATTTATAAACTGTCATTAAAATCAAGAAGCTTAGTTCAATGAATTAAGGTCTTAATGTATCATATGATACTCATAATATATAAACAATAATATGTGGAGTGTATTAATGAATATAAATTCTTTATAATAAAAACTGAGTTCATCTCTGTTTATTAATGATTAATTGTGTCATAGTTACTGTATTATGTAACTAAGGTGAATCTAACTTGATTGGCATACAAATTTGTCCCATTCATAATTCTTTTCTTTCTTTTTTTGTTTTGATTTTTATGAAACAATTATTATCAGTATGAGGTTAAGTTTTTGATTGACATCATGAACTAATTGACGTTAGACTATCAGTGAAAACCTGAAAACATTGAGCGGCTGTTTTGTCTTCGTATCGGACCCCTCATCAGTGTGCATCTACGATCCTACTGGGCGAGATTGGAACCCAAAGGTCTTCGGTCTCGCGTACTCATTAATGACTAGCTTCGTGAAGGAGTTCTTTCAGTTTTAGTGAGAAGCTGTGATTAGTGGAGTTCAACCGAGTCTGTTGTGAGATGGTATATCATTGAAGACAATAATGGACGGTGATGCAATTTCGTGGGATGGTTCAAGCTAGACATTAACACCGTTGGATGCTGGCTCAATAGTATAAGGGTTAAGCAAGCGCGAGTGAGACTGATAAGTCCTGGGTTCGAGTCTCACGAAACGGGATGGTGGACATGCGTTGCTGAGGAGTTCTATATTACGACGAATCGGCCGACGAATACTTCTAGGTTTACCATGGTGTTCTAGCTTAAATCGATTCATGAATCCAACCATGAAAATGAAATGTTCTATACGGTCAAGGTTAAACATATTTCCAATTAACCGTTGTAAAACGCATTATTTTCTATTTTAATGGTTTAAACTAATTTTACTATGTCACTGATCATTCATTTGTGTTAAAATTTTCAGTTATTAATTCATTTCTTATAATTCATTGTTTATATATTGCTATTTATCAGATACCGAATGGAACATTTAATGAAACAGAAGAATCTATGCCTGGAAGTACTATATATTATCCAACGAAAATTCAAAGTAGGTTGAATTTCGTATAACAGAATCAATGGAATATTGATGATAATTTTATTCAATCCTTTATGTTAAATCCATTAGAGAACTCTAAGTAGATGAAATCTGAAAAAGTTTCTTCAAAATCTTTATATTTATATATGTATACAATATCAAAGTGAGGATCTTCAATACGAACGTCAAGGCAGTTCTACTGTACGGAGCTAGAACTTGGAGAACTACAACAACCACCATCAAGAAGGTACAAGTATTTATAAATAGTTGTCTACCCATGATACTCAACATCCATTGGCCAGATACCATCAGTAACAGCCTTTTGTGGGAGAGAACAAACCAACTTCTAGCTGAAGAAGAAATTAGAAAAAGACGATGAAAATGGATAGGACATACATTACGCAAATCATCAATCTGCATCACGATGCAAGCCCTGACTTGGAATCCTGATGGGAAGCGGAAAAGAGGAAGGCCAAAGAACATATTACGTCGGATAATAGAAGCAGATATGAAAAGGATGAATAACAACTGGAAGGAGCTAGAAAGGATTACCCAGAACAGGTTTGGATGGAGAATGCTGGTGAGCGGCCTATGCTCCTTCATGAGGAGTAACAGGCTTAAATAAGTAAGTAATAAAAGCTAGAAATCATTTTCGAAGGATTGGAGAATAAAATTTACATGGTAATGTTTAATTGTTGTTTTAGGACTGTAATTGATCAGTTTCAATACTCGTAAGTTACTAGTATTTGATCACAGATGCCTTAGAAATATTGCTGGCGTCTGCTGGGATCACCGGGTAAGTAATAGTGAGATTCGACAAAGGCTATTAGGGAATGATGATAAATTAATTGATGAGGTTGTAAATCCTCATCGACTGAGATGGTTGAGCCACGTGTTACGTATGCTTGAACACCGATTACCACGACGTGCAATGTTAACCTGTGTTGGAGATGGTTGGAAGAAAGTTAGGGGCTGCCAAACCAAGACGTGGCATCAGTGCTTGAAGCCACTAACTGGTAGTCTGAGTCATGTTGGTAGATACTACTAGACTACTTGGTTGGGGTCCGCGTGACTGTCGTAACCAATGGTTTAAGACTCTGTGTGACATGGCTCAGAATCGATCACAATGGCGTCGGTGTATACACTCTCTGTCTTCCCTTAAACTAAGAGATTAAAATCGCTTCATATCTTTCCTTCTATGAACTAATTCTTTCTTCTTGTACTATATCTCTATATGCAATCTTTCTTTTATATATTACCAACTCTGAATTAACTACTTTTATGAATCCGGTGTTAATCTTGTTGTGTTTACGAGGTATGGGAACTTGGACCGATGCATATATTTGCCTGGTCCTACGTTGTAGCTGACTGACTGACTGCGTTAGATGATATTTCATAGAATCATTCTTAAATTAATCAAGATCACTCTCATACTTTAGTTCTACCTAATTTTATTTGTGTCTTATTATATCAGATGGTATTTTACACGAAATGAAAGACATGACTATGATTACTTTACTTACTTACGCACGTCTGTTACTCCTCTTTGGGAAGCATAGGCCGCCTATCAGCACTCTACATTCAAGTCTGTCCTGTGCCGACTACCACCAAGTTGTTTGATGCACACATGATAGTTGCTAAAAATACCTAGTGATGATATGCAAAGATATAATCAAACTATGAAAATTTATTTATGAATCCTTCACAATTGAGTATTCAACTATAAGTTTTAAAGTGATTTACATTTCCTGGTGAATTCCTTCTTTAAACTGTAGTAATTCATATTCATATTATTGTGCTTGTTTGACTTTTTTTATAGATAATGCCTATTCACCTTATTACAAAAACACTGCGATAAAAGTTCCTGCATTCTTGATAAAGTCGAACACCTTGATGGAGTTTATACCAGATCCAAGTAGGTGGAGTTAAAACGAATTATTGATTTTTAATTACGTGATTATAGCTTCGTCTTTATCACTAGGTGAACAAAATGTAATTGATTTTCCTACATTCGTTTGAATGTCTATTAAAATTAAGTTTTCATCATTAATGTAAGGATGTATGTAACTCGTAAACGTACTCCATGGTTTAGTTCTGATTTTTTCTTCTTCTTCTTCTTCATATCCCGTTACAATAAATGAATTCTTGTTTCACAATCAATCCTTTTAAATATCAAACTGTTAATCTCAACCTGATACATGAATAGTACTTAAGCACCTTGTTGGAATCACATAGACTTTGTATCATTAGAGATTATGTAGTAAAAATAGCGTCAAAGGTCTTTTCATATTTTAATGTTATCGAAGAAAATTTTCCGTATGACTTACTATATAAAACGGCTGCATAATTTTGGGATTATTTGACATTTACCTTAACGATTTGTCGATTCTTGAATATTACCCATTATACTTTACTGTTCTCCATTATCCTTTCTCGGGCTTTTCAAATAAGATTTATCTGTATTGTGAAGAGTGCTAACGGCAGTTAGCAAGGTGTATCGCAATTCTTTTGAGGTCATTAATAATATAGTTGTGGATAGACATCTAAAATCTTGAAAACTGCTGGAAGGTGTTGTCAGATATCAACCCTCAACTTCATTTATGTCTTTCTCCTTGTATATCTTCTAGTAGAACGAGATGTCAATACATTAGAATCCATGCACGCAAGCTAAAGTATAAAACTTCTACAATACTTTATGTTGTAAAGACACTACGTGTAGAACAGGTTGTAAGAGTTGAGCTAGACAATAGTCTGTATTCTCAAACATGTTTCTAACTAAAAGTTGTACAGACTTTTGCTTTATTAAAATAACGTTTAATTCTAGACAGTTCATTGACTTACTTCATATACACATGTATGTAATCATCGACTATTGGAATCATTTTGGTAAAAGAAATTTGTTAAACTATTGTGTGCCGAGGATTTCATATCGTGATGAACATAATACTGAAATTTGTTAGTAATAATAACCCTAATACCGCTACTGTAGGGAATGAGAACAGAAGTGGATTACAGAATTTCTTGGTCAAATCTGAGAACCATACAGTAAATACTTCATTTGTAAAATATTCATCAATTATATCAGAATTTGTTGTTCCTTCGTTTCCGTACCAATTATTCTCTGTTCTCCTTCTCTTCTCGATTTCCTCAACTTTCTGCCTCCAAGCATTCCACTCTCGATTGATGATAAATACTACTTATATCTGTTAACATCAGTAGCACAAATCATACTACTGTTACTGATGGTAGTAATAACAATAATTATTATTACTATTATTATTGTTATTATTATTATGAAAAGTAGTTTTGCATGTTATTATTATTATTTAAACACATAAACATTAGTACAAGGAGGCACCAAGTAGATATGCGCCACATAAATCATTCGATTTGTGTGAAGGCTGTGATACTGCCCGGGTGCCCAGACCGAAGCAGCTGGTTTTCTTAGGGAGCCACACTCCGAGCCTTCGACCTGAAGGTCTGATCCACAAGGCAGTGGAGCATCGTGAGGCGATGCAGTCCCCTATTATCCGGTGACCAACAATTGGTTCATACGCCATTTGTTCCCTCAGGATACTGGAGCCCATGTGCACCATTGGTTTGGAATCCGGTTAAAACGCCGAACATTCGCTTTTCTTCCTCTCAATTTCGTAAACAACACCCCCGCCACGAGAAGGCAATGAGTATGACTTCGTTGGCAGAGGCTATATAAGCGTGGCCATGTGAGAGCATTTTGAGAGGGAGAACGGACTCTCCCCACTCTCGGCCGTACCAGGCCATTCGGGAGCAGTTTTGCATCTAACTGTACATGATCCGAAAACCTTATTGGTACAGAAGTGTCAATTATCAACAATACTGTTTATAATTAACTGTGATCACTCTATTAAACCTTGTTTTTATTCCATCCATATTTTTTACAGTCACATAAATATTGTATCAAATAAGATAGAACCATACTTTTATGAGGTATTCAAATTAGGTTTGGAAAATTTAAGATTTTAATAATGTCAGTAATTGTCTTATAAGTATTGGGTTGTGGAGATTAATGAGTTTGGATTGATATCACGAATGGATCAATGCTAGACCGCCAATGAAAACCTAGAAGCATTGGACGACTGTTTCGTCGTATTATAGGACTCCTCAGCACTGTGTATCCACGATCCCGCACACAGTTCTCGAGCCCGAGACGTTTGGTCTCGCGCGTGAACGCCTAATTAATGATACTTAAACAATAATAATAATCAATAAAAATTACAAATTGGTTGTTATGGCTGTGAGTCAGAAATTGGACAAAGAGTTTAGTAATATCACTTTATCCACAATTTGATCACAAGACAGTTCTACTCTACGGAGCGGGAACGTGCAGTACTACCACAATCATCATCAAAACAATACAAGTACTTCTAGACAACTGTTTACACAAGATACTCAATGTCCGTTGACTGGATATCATCAGGAACTGTTTACTGTTGTAGAGAACAAACCAGCTTCCATTTGAATTGGAAATTAAGAAAAGACGTTGGAAGTGGATAAGACATACACTACGGAAATCACTAAACTGCATAACTAGGCAAGCGTCAACTTGGAATCATGAAGGAAAACGATAAAGAGGTAGGCCAGTGAACACACGGCGCCGAGAATTGGAAGCATGTATGAAAAGGATGAATAGGAACTGGAAAGGATTTTTCAGTACAGAGTTGGTTGGAGAATGCTAGTGGGCCACCTATACTCTTTCATGCCGGATAATAGGCGTAAGTATTTCAGTTAGTATTGTCGCTAGGTCCAAAATTATGTGATACTTCCACAAGTTTCAATAAACTTAACACAAAAATTCACTTTGAAAGCCTGATTTACCATAAAACAAACGGCTTTATCCCTGTATTTAACAAAGTCGAACAACTTAAAACAACCATTGTAAACTACCGCAATCGATATATCAAGACAGGGTTGACAACTAAATGGCTATTTCTAAGAATATAAATCTCAACTATTGGATCTATTGCGAAACAATGATATAGTGCTGGGTCACCCAAATAAAGGTGCCGTGATTGTCATCGTGAATCGAAATAACTATGTTTTGAGAGTATTTTGTATTCTCTCTGATACCAACAAATTCCTAAAAGAAAAAGTCTAAAAAGTTGCTTCAAGTCAAAGTGAACAGAAATTAACAAAAATCTTTTAGGAAGTAAACAACAAATCAATTACCAATGGAAACTTCAATGAAAAACCTAGACCAACTGGATTCATTATTCCATGACTATATGGCCTACCTAATGTACATAAGAAAGATATCCTCTACGTCCTGTACTAGATATGAGTAATTCGCCATATCATGCCATCACCAAATAGCTAGCTGGAATTCTTCGATCAGTCAGAAATCAACTAGATAGATAAACCACTGGTGATTTGTTTGATGCACTATCAAGTGTTAACATAACCGGAAAGAAAATGACGTCACTAGATATACCCTCTATTTTTAAAAATGTACCTCCAACGGAAATAAACTGCCTACTATGTGATTATATTGAAAACAACAGACTCGATATCGGTGTTCTAGTACATTATTTAAAGGAAATACTACTCCGATGCACTCTTGACGTTCAATTTAAATTTGACACTGAGTTCTATAGAAAAACTGACGGCAAAGCGATAGGGTCACTGCTCGAGCCACTTTTAGCTGACCGTTTTATAGCTAATCTCTAAAACACTATACTAAGGTCATCACTTGACAGCTTTTATCTATAAAAGGATTACTAAGACGACACGTTTGTGACAAAAATATCAATGTCAACGACATCGTGGATGTATTTATTAACTGTCATTAACTAATTAAGTTCACGACTGAGTCAGAGTCGGATTCAGATTTCCACTTCTTAAATGTTTTGGTTAAAAGATCTGACGGTTCTCTGCAAAGGTTAAAATAGAGAAAGCCAATATGGAATGGTTAATACATGAATTTTCAAAGTTGGGTCCCACTGGAAGAAAAGAGAAACCTAATCCATTCTCTCCGTATATGGGTTAAACGTATCTGTACGGAAGATACGATCGATATCGAAATTGATAAACTAAGGTAGATACTGATCAATACTGACTATCCACCTATATTCATTGAAAAAAATCTGAAACCGAAACAACAACGTGAAAGAGTGTCCACAGCAGCAAAGAAGACTCTCTCCATAAACATCTAGTTTGAAAGTGATACTGCAGCAAAAATTCTGAAAAGTGAACATTCAAGATGTCTAATGAAAACGATTTAGTCGCCCTGTAATTCGAAATTGTGCGAAGGTTAAACTCCCACTTTGGGCGAAATCAACGAGCAGCTTAATAGCTATTTAATGGAAAATTATTCACAACTTACCACTTTTTCACTAGACGATTACACGATTGTACATTATAAGTAAATGAAATTGGTGGAAAAGAGATTTTATTCACCGAACAGTCTTCTTATTTATTCAGTAGCACAATACTATCTCATGTAAACTACATATTGTGAATGAATATAATATTTAGGTTATATAGGCGAATAAAACAATGATGATATTAATTAAACCCAATATAAGAATATTTAAAAATAAACAAAAATCAGATAATTATCAACATATTCTCACTGGTGACTGGCTTCAAGAGGTATATCCTGGAGTTCTAGTGAGAAGCAATGACCAGTGGAGTTTAACCAGGTCTGTTGTGAGATGGTAGCTCACTGAAGACAATGGTGGATGTGTTGATCGATTTCGTGGATTAGTTGAAGTTAGACATTAACACCATTGCATCCCTGTCAGCTCAGTGGTCTAATGGTTAAGCTCTCGCGCACGAGACTGATAGGTACTGGGTTCGAATCTCGCGAGACAGGATCATGGATGAGCACATCTGAGGAGTCCCACAATAGGAAGAAACGGCCGTCCAGTGCTTTCAGGTTTTCTTAGGCAGTCTATCTTCGATTGACTCATGATCTCAACTATTGAAAAATTAGACAGACAAAATGAAATTGAAAAAAAAATAAATAAAAAACAAGAAAAAAAAGAAAATTAAAAAATCCATAAAAAACAAAAAAAAATAATTCACACACAAAACATTATAAGAATTAAAGTTCCAATAAACACCCATTGACAAAGTACCAGTTTAAAAGAACTGCAAGGTCTCGTAAATAGTTCATGTAGTTTATATTGACACTATTGTAATAAGTGTTCTCAAAGAAAAATCCCTCATCAATACACCTAATTTTTTTTTCATGTTCAAGTTTGCTCTGATCAAACATCATGCGGTGAATGCCTCAAACCAGGTGCATTCGCTACAAAATGTTATTGGTGTCCAAGAACAAGAAGGTGTACTAATACTCATGATAGTTATGGGAGAATGTGGAAGAAAGGAGAGTGTCAAATACAGGTAAGAGATTCGACTTTTACTCTATTGTACCATTAAGTATTATGTTATTCTTTGAAATTAGTTTCGTCAAATTGTTAGCCTATAATTGGTTCTATTGGAATACGAATAACTTACTGACTCTATAAAATTTTATGTGTCTATACTTTGTGTCAGTGTTCGTAGAAAATCATGTAGTTCAGATAAAGAAGTTGACGACGTTTAGGTGCTTCAAAATGCTTGTAAGCATACTGTGATATCTTGAAACCTGCTGACTAATATCACGCGGCGAGTCACTAATCAGAATGCTACTTCTAAATTGATCTGTTATCTACTCTATAGATTGGTGTCTCTGACTCGATCTATTGTAAGCCCGACCAGCACTAATGACCTTGACACGTTGATTGCCTTTCTATCGATCCAGCAACTTCCATCACGTTTCTAGACCACATTCTCAGCACATACACCACAATCAAGTTATATTTACAATCATTTTCAATCTCCAATTCTCTTTTTGTTCAGCGGTCAGTCTAGAAACATATTCTACAGTTAACAGACATAATAGCATATCATCTATTCAAATTCCACTTACTATCCAGTGAAATAAAAAGCCTTCTAGAAATCTTCACTAAAGTAGTACTCAAACAAGGATTCAATACAGAACATGTAGTGGACACGCTACGTTTCCTCGCTGATTACAAACATTGCTTACTTTCGCCTGTTTCTGCCAATGAGGCATAGGCCGCCGATCAGCATTACCCAAACCACTTTGTCCTGGGCCTTACTTTCTAGTTTTATCAAACTCGATAAAAAAACGCTAACCAAAAAAGAAAATAATTCACATTTACAACCATACCAAGTCGTATATTGTTTATTAGCAATGACTCCTTTGAAATGTAAATCATATGGCTACATTGTTTCTTTTTCTAGAATAGTAAAAATTGTACTGTTCAGAACGATGTTCTAACTACTCCGATCCGAAATATCATCGGTGTAGCAAAATCCTCGATCAGAAGAAATAAACTTACAAATCTCACACAGAAAATTACAAACAACAAATTATCAGAACATGTACCCAATACGACTACTGTTCAAGTAATTCAAGTTAATAAAACATTGAGTATTCAACTAGGCAATATGTTTTTTATACTTCACCATGTGATTGATAGTTCGTATATAATCTTATGGATGTTAGCGACTGTATTCATTATTCACTTTATTGCTAGGTTTGAAGCTGTCATGAGTTCGCTTGATCTACAAACGAGATGCAAGACTCAGTGACCAAAGATCAGTAAGCTAGCTATTGATGTGTCCCAGCCCCGCTAACTAGAGGGAGAAGTCCAAGCTTGGAATGAGAAGTATATTTTGCAAACAGCCAGAAACGAGCGATCACAACAAACACAATTCAAAACGTATATATACAAATATATATATAATCGATATTACCATGGAAGTTTTCTAAACATTTAATCGATAAGTTCGTCAATCGACTATGTGCGTGTGTGGTAATAAATGCCCAAGCATACATCTGCATACAAGCTCCACAAAGATAAAATTACAGAACATAAGTTTTGGGGATCTGTCGTCCCCAACACTCCTCCCCTTTTTATAGCGTACTTTCATGCGGTCAACTTGGATCTTGACTGTTGCTCGCCGATGTCGGAGAGGCCACCTTCTGAAACGGAGACCAGCTTGTTGTTGAGCTTCTTCTTGTGGTGGGGCTGCTTATAAGTTGAAGGTATCAAGCAGGATGTCAAGGGGAAGATTTACTCCTGTTGATGGGCGGTCTGGGGCTATCCGCTTCCGTAGTTGGTTTCCGTGTCTAGTCCACGTGTCTCTTCCCACCTTTACCTCGTACATAACTTGGCCTAGTCTTCCGACCACACGTGCTTCGATCCAAGGACCATGATTTGCTCTGTAGTCTCGAGCAAACGCCGGGCATCCAGCCTCGTACGCTGGCAGCTTCTGAGATTTGGTCTGAGATGGTGTGGTTCTTGATCACATCAGACTGTGGATTGTCCACAATTTCCTTCCCATCAGGATCTCTGCCGAGGACTTCTGCTGTGGTAGCATCATCCTGGTTAGCAAAGTGAAATTTGAATAAGTCTTAGTAACGTCAAAACCACATGTCAAACGTGACATTGGATTCCAGATCGTAATGAAACTCGGAGATACTGTTAGCGATACCATCAACTAATGGTGCGGTAGTAGTAGGATTAGAATTACTTGGTTGAGTATTAGACGTAAGCTTTGTATCTGTTAACGTCTAAATAAGTTTCATCTGCTGCTTGAGTAATAATTCAAGTTTAGAAGAATCCATGTTTCCGAAACCACATTTACCACCATACCAAGTCGTATATTGTTTATTAGCAATGACTCCTTTGAAATGTAAATCATATGGCTACATTGTTTCTTTTTCTAGAATAGTAAAAATTGTACTGTTCAGAACGATGTTCTAACTACTCCGGTTCAAGATATCATCGGTATAACAAAACCCTCGATTAGAAGAAATAAACTTACAAATCTCACACAGAAAATTACAAACAACAAATTATCAGAACATGTACCCAATACGACTACTGTTCAAGTAATTCAAGTTAATAAAACATTGAGTATTCAACTAGGCAATATGTTTTTTATACTTCACCATGTGATTGATAGTTCGTATATAATCTTATGGATGTTAGCGACTGTATTCATTATTCACTTTATTATCCTTTTCAATATATTATGTAATCTATTATAACTTTCTTACTTCTTATCAATGATTTCTTTGTTATCACGATATTTATTCACAAGTTATTATTCTTATTTATTCACTTATTCACTGTATGTTCTGAGAAGTTGTATGTTTCTAGGGCAATGTTGGTCTTCATTATTTGATTTGTGCATACATGATTATTATTAAACAGGAATTGAATGGATTTTCATCAGAATAGTCATTGAATTACAAAATGAATTAAAGACAGATAGCAAAACTAAATGACAAGAGATCCAAATGTTTTATGAAATATGTAAAAAGATAACTGTTAAATTGTGCACAATATTTCAAATTGTTGTTGTGTCCCGATAAGAATAATGAATGGTCATTTTCTGGGATCTATTTATGGACCAGTATTGTGTGTATATTTTTGTTGTATAATTGTTATGTAACTAAACTATTCATATTCATGGTCCTCTTATTATGAGCTTTATTTTAACTTATGAACTGTTATTATACGATTTTCCATTCTTGAATTATGCCCTGTCTATTAATCACTACCCCCCACATTCACAGCCACATTTGGCCAAATCTTGTACAAATGTTGTTTCATATTTTATTGGTACGTTTTGGTCTGTTTGATTAGTACATAAACCCAGTATGTTTGAAATATAATGATTCATATCGCAGAGGCTCGGATTGGTGTTCTGGACTTAACTGGTTGGGCTAGGTGGAAAGCAGGACCAATCAAAACTCTAGACTGTTCGCACGTGTTTTACGCGCCCTTGGTCCGATCGATAATTCGCTGCTCCCTAATTGGCGGTTACAAGTTATAACAACTGTTTAACTATATTAATTTTTCGTTCACTACCATGTAATAAATCTGTGACTTTTCAGACCTAAATTTTACAATTACTTAATTCTACTAAAATTTTGTAGTGAAAGAGAAAACAAGTGAAGACAGTCGATTATATATAGCACAAAATTACAGAGCTACTTAGTAAAATAAAAAATTCACACTTCAAATACTTCATTTGCAAAATGTTTATTAATTGTCTCACATTCCATTGTTCCTGCATTTCTGTACCAATTATTTTCTGTCCCTATTCTTCCCTTCTTGATCTTATCAACCTTTTGCCGCCAGAAATTTTATTCCTGACTAGCGTTATATACTACTTATGTCGATATGAGTAGCACACACTACAATTCCATTATCTTTTTGCACACAAATTCTCGTAATTAGCTCATATTTTCATTACATATGGATAAAACCCTCAATAGATAAACACCTGGCTTCCGTCCAAATGTCATATTATACATCCCCAAAAGTCTTTTATTTCAGAAAATTCGAGCATGACATTGTACTGATTAGGCAGCTGCTTAATCAACTCATGCCTCAAAATATCACCGGGGTCACCTTGCTAAAGGTGTACAGACTAGGGAGTCTAGCGGACTCGAAACCAAATCATTCCAGACTGCTTAAAGTAGTATTCGGCTCTTCAAACGAACGTGACCTAATTTTACAAAATGGACACAAATTAAAGGGTTCAGGAGTCTTTATCCGAAAGGACCTACCGTTGGCAGACCGTGTTAAAAGACGGGAAGCCGAGAAAGAACTACAACATAGGTTAGACGCTGGCGAAAAGGACCTGAAAATTGTAAATTTTCGGGTTGTAAGACTTCGACAGAGGCCGAAGCCACTCTGGGTGAAGCACGAAGGCACTTAAACAGGCTTCGGATCTGTTACACCAATGCACGAAGCTTACTTAATAAGCGATCGGAACTAGGTGTACAGATTGACTCTACAAAGCCAGATATAATCGCAGTAACAGAAACCTGGCTGACACAGGCTATAGATAGTATAGAACTTGATTTCGAGGGCTTTACGTTAGTAAGGGCCGACAGAACACAAAAGCGCAAAGGAGGGGGAGTAGCTCTATTCATTAGGAATGCTATCCCATTTACCATTATCGATAGTGTATCCCATGAGAGTGGGACGTGTGAATTAGTTAGTCTTCGCTTAAAATGCAAGGGACAAGAGCTGCTGATTGGTTTGGTCTATCGCAGTCCAAGCTGTGAGGCAAATGAGATCCTGTTAAGCAGTCTCAATACTTGGTCCCAAAGTGGTCGATGTCTAATCCTAGGGGACTTTAATGCACCTATGGTAGACTGGGAAAATCTGCGAACTAAATCGTTGGAGAATTCCTTCGAGCAGGAACTAGTTGATGCGGTTATCACATGTGCCCTAGTGCAACATGTGAAAGAAGCGACAAGGTACGATCCGGACACTGAATCATCCTTATTAGATCTTATACTGACTCACTATGAGGATGATGTTGCGAACCTCCATCATATGCCACCCTTAGGTAAAAGTGACCACGCAGTTTTAACTTTCGACTTCCATATAACTGCCAGTCATGAGGACGCGTCAGTCCAGTCCAGACCCAACGTCTGGAAAGCAAACATACCAGACATCATGCACTCAGCATCGTTAATAGATTGGACAATAGACCCAGAGTCCTCCATTGAAACGGCCTGGGACGCATTTCGAAATTCATACTTAAAAGTTACCACACCTCACATCCCTTGGACTATACCAAAGGGGCCGAAAAACTCACCACCATGGTTCAGTAGGGAGGTCCGTATCCTTCTCCGTAAGAAAAGGAAAATGTGGGATAGATTTAGGTTACTGGGGACTGATGAGTCAAAATCTCAGTATCGAAAGGCTCGGAACACTTGTGCCTCGACCCTCCGTAAGTCTAGAAAATTGTACGAAGAAAAACTTGTTAAGGAATCCATAGAATGTCCTAAACGCTTGTATTCCTATATAAACCAAAGGACAAGGAGAAAAGGAAATATTCCTGCTCTATGGGGAGACAGTACTGCTTCATCATTAGTGGAGGACGACTTTGGTAAGGCTCAAGCGTTCTCGAACTACTTTAGCAACGTGTATACCATAGAAGCGCCCTTCTCGTCAGCGTATACAGATCCCCCATACATACACTGGATAGCGTGACCATTAAAGAACTCGATGTCTTTGGTCTGCTAAATAAGCTTGACATAGGTAAATCCACGGGGCCCGATGAATTACATCCTAGGCTACTGAAGGAATTATCTAACTTCGTTGCAAGCCCTTTAAGTACATGCTTTAACCTATCCGTTACGCAGGGTCGCTTACCGAAAGATTGGAAAAACGCCATAGTAAGTCCTGTCTTCAAAACAGGTACGAAACACAAACCTGAGAACTACCGCCCCGTTAGCCTAACTAGTGTGGTTGTTAAAATCTTAGAAAAGATTATTCGGAAGGAGCTGTTTAAGTATCTCGATAAAAACCGGATCCTCTCGGAGAAGCAGCACGGCTTCAGAATAGGTTATTCTTGTCTCACTAACTTATTAGTGGCTCGTGAAAGCTGGTGCGCTCTTAAGGACCAAAAGCTACCTGTAGACGTCGCCTTCATTGATTTCAGTAAAGCTTTTGATAAAGTTCCGCACAACCGGCTGTTATATAAGTTAAGAAAAGTCGGGATTGGAGGCAATTTATTGATGTGGATAAAAGACTTCTTAGTTGGGCGTCAACAAAGAGTAAGGGTGAACTCAAAGTTATCTAGCTGGGAAACTGTGCTTAGTGGAGTGCCCCAGGGTACAGTTTTGGGGCCAGTGCTATTCCTCTTGTATGTAAATGACCTTCCTTGTCTCCTATCATCATCGGTCTTGCTATATGCTGACGATGTCAAGATATGGAGAACGATACGATGTAAGAGTGATAGCTTAGAACTTCAAAATGACCTGAAGAAGTTATCTGAATGGTCTCAAACATGGCAGTTGCCGATAAATACTTCCAAGTGTGTTGTGATGCATATCGGTCATCAAGGCACAGATACATACACGATGAATAACACTGAGCTACCTGTCGTCCAGACATATAATGACTTAGGAGTTATCGTTAGTCAAGACTTAAAGACTACTGCACACTGCCGTGCAATAGCCGCCAAAAGTTTTAGAACGTTATGGTCAATACGTAGGGCTTTTAGTCATGTCGACCGTAAGACGTTTTTGACTTTGTATACAGTGTTCGTTCGTCCTAAACTTGAGTACTGCATACAAGCGGCTAGCCCCTGCTTAAAAAAGACAGTGAGCTTCTGGAAAAGGTTCAGAGAACGGCGACTAAGCTGGTTCCCGGAATAGCGAAGCTTCCGTATGAATCTCGACTGGCCAAGCTGAACCTTTTCCCGTTGTCATATCGCAGAACTAGAGGCGACTTGATTACAGTCTACAAATTGCTTAGTGATAAATTTGCACCTAACATGCCCTCATTTTTCTTGTCTTCCAAAACAGAGAATTTACGAGGACACTCCAAAAAAGTTTACAAGCCGAGAACAAATTACTTGTCAGCTGACTATCGACTTTCCCATCGAATCATCAACGAGTGGAATTCACTACCTCAGCACGTGGTTGAGGCTCCATCCGTCGACTCTTTCAAAAGAAAGTTGGATCAACTGAGACCACCATTGCCAGGACTAACATAGGCCATCGAGCCTCCTGTCCTTCCCAAACTGAAACTGAAACTGAAAAAGCATTCCAATTGATACTCATTAAGTGTAAAACATCCCATAGTGAGCTCACAGCTAATGACTTCACAAGTTACACTGTGATGGGATTCGCAAGCAAAAGAGCGGATACTGTGTTATTGGCTATGTGTAAAAGGACGCCATTTCTTTTCCTATATCTATGTCTATCACTTCCTAGGTAGTAGTATCCGGATAATTCTGGAGTAATGTCGAAATCATGGACTAATTAAGTTTCTGTCGCAACTACTCTTAGTGGCATTAATTTGTCCACTAATTCCCCTAGATCGTGGAATTTATTTCTTAGACTACGAGAATTTTCATATAAAACTCCTAGGGAGAACGACCTATCCACATAGGCATTGGTAGCATCCACTTTCAAAACCTGACAATTCGAAACCACTGTAGGTGGGGGTTTTCCCTTGCCACTCTGCAGACGAGTTTCTAGTTCAGCTAGTGCCATCTTCCTTTTCGTTCTTTATTCTAGGAACATACCATATATTGCCTCAATGTCGGTAATGTCATGACTACGAGCGCTACTTAACAAAAGATCTCGTCTTTTTTCATACCTGATGATTATCTTAAGGTATATACATGTTCAGGCTTCAGCACTTTTATCAGTCCTCCCGCCTATTCTTATCAATTTTTCGAACTCAACTTCGTTACAGTTATATAATAAGGTGCTACGAATAAAAAAGCACGGTAAAATGTTAGATCCTTTCAAAGTCGCCCGCTGTTGCGCTGCAACGACCTTGAACGCCCGTATTTCAATTTCTGCGGGTTCGTTGAGATGCACTAATATCAAGTGTTGTCTTTTGTTGCAGCGAAACCACAAAATCGTTGGTAAGAACATTGATTTACAACTCTCTGTCATGTAGTGCACACGTTGGATCGATTGTTGCTTCGTAACTTCCCAATCTTCCTTATTTCGGAGAACTTTTTGTCTGGTTTGGGGATATTTTGCAGATGAGTTTCGTCGAGGTCGTCCCATCCTGTCTACCTAAAAGTAAAAAGTATTGCGAGCAGATGTAAGCCGGATCGTGTACAAATTTTGACGTACATGTGTCCTTGCCGTCATATGCTACTGTAGCGTGGCGTCGAGTTGAGATTAACTATGAACACCGCTACAAAGAAACACGTGCCAAATAAATCAGAAGGCGAGGGTTGAACGTAACCAGATAAATCTATAAAATCCCCGAGAAGCCAAATATCAGAAGACAGTTAATGGACCAAATCGAGATGTATTCGCTGGCGATCTCGTGGCATCGAAAGGATACCGAGATCGTGCCAGAATACAAGCTTG